GTGAAGTCCCCTGATGTTGCAGAAATTCACGGATAGCGTGGCAGGGGTCGCCTTGGTGTTCTTGCTCAGTTTACCCCTAGCAGTAATGCTTTTGAGCGGAATTTTGCCCCCCCCCCCCCCAGAATACGCGGGGCAGCCTGAGCACCCACGCTCAGGATCGGCATAACATGGTCGTGGATGCTCAGCGAGGGATTCTCCAGGGGTGCTGGTACCCTCCTGGGGTAGTTCTTCGTGTAATTCCGCTACCATGTTGATGGGGGAGGGGGATTGGGCCTCCGGCCACCTGCACTCACCAGACGAAACGCAGAAGCAAAGCTTCTACTTCACGCCGGTATTCTGTGAGGTCGTGGTACCAACCCGGCTCGAGCCGGCCCATACATGCAACAGCAAAAACTGCTGCGTGGCTCTACCACCGTTAAAATGTTCGGGATATTTTTCGGAAACCGGCTTGTTCGGGAGACTGGAAGTAGTCTAGTCTGTGCGCGAGACGATTCGTAATGACTCTCGAAAACAGCACGTAGACGCGGCTCAGAAGGGAAATCGGTCTGTAGTTCTTCAAGAGATCATTGTCACCTTTCTTGAAGAACAAGACCACCGCACTTCTGCTCCACCATGGCACCATGGAGGATGGAATCAAAGAGCTTCTGAAGGACTTCATGTACCGGTTTTCCACCCGCTTTCAGAAGCTCCGCTGTAATTCCATCCTCGCCTGGGGCCTTGCCGTTTTTCAGGTGCTGGAGAGCCATTCTAATTTCGCTCATACTGACGTCCGGGATATCATCGGAATAGTGTCGGATAAGACTCGCTCTTGGATCGTTACTCACACTTGCGTTTAGCTCCAACGATGATGTGTACAGCTCAGTTACTACTAACTTAAACTTTACGTAATTTTCCATATCTTCTTCTAACTGAAATATAAAAATGTATATAAGTATTAATTTATTTGCTTCTAACAATAAGGCATAGCTGAGGCAGATACATAAATTCACCGCTGTTATGTAAAGTATTATAGAATATTATCATTCACTCTTTGCTTTTTACCCGAGTACGTCTCTATGTCATTGTTTTGACCCTGGAATACGAAATACGATGTTTTTACATATAAACATCTGAACCAATTTTAATGACTTCGATCTGAGATCTTAAAATGGATATAGGCTACTTTTCATCGCAAAAATAAAACTTTACGGGGATGAAATAGCGGTGAGATAAAAACTTTCTGTGACAAACTGAATTCAACGCGGGCGAAACCGCAGGTAAAAGCTAGTAATACATAGAAATGGAAACGGGCGAATATATAGGTTTACGTTAGTAGATACGTTAGTGCGTAGTTTTATCAACAAAACTTAAAAAAAGTAAATAGGTATGTTTTTATTTATACAGCAGGCTTAAAATAAGAGAATATACAGGTACACTACACGTAACATAAGGTACCAACTTATTTCCATATCAACTAAATAATAGGTATAATAGATATGTAGGTACGTACATCGAAGTGATCTTCACAGCAATTTCTTGTAGCCTGGGCAGAGGGTGTAGTTTTATCATCTCTTTTTACAATGGAATAGCATTTTTTTACGAAGTTGGGGTCTTTCGGTACGTTAAAAAATAGTTTTTCTGGTGTTTTAATAGAAGTGTTTGTACATTTCGGCACTATACAATATTTATACATAGTTAAAAAGGTGAATTAGACACAAATCGGACACTTAATTTGTTTCAAAGTCACAATTAACCAAACAAAACACTGCGTGCCTTATTGCTGCCAACGGCTAACTGGCGAAGACCGTCATAGTGACGTTACAGCTACCGCGCCGGGCCGTCAGTGAACTTCGCTAGTAATTTGATCATAACTTCGTCAATTTTTGCCGTAGAACAAAAATTTTTGCACTGTATGTTAAGGATTTCTTAGATCTATAAATCTGCATTCTCAACTAAAAACGTTACGGATCCTCATTCTCATAGTCGCCTCTTACAATACCCACGGGACGAAATGGGATAATGGATACTTTTACGTTGCATACCACGTGGCATTATACGGCCTTACACGTATTTACCGTGTAGTGGCGGTGTAAGAATATCCGCATTTACCGCTAAAAAGAACCCCTTTGTCGTATCTTCTCAGTTTCAAGGCACTCCCCTTCTTGCCTCAGCCAGTATCGGTATCCTCGGAGTCGACATATCGAGTGACGTGCAGTTTCGTGGTCACTTGGAAGAGAATGCCAAATTGGCCTCTAAAAAGCTTGGCGTGCTGAGCAGAGCGGGACAGTATTTCATGCCGGCACACTGTCTGCAACTTTATAAGGCGCAGGTTCGGCCTCACATGGAATACTGTTCCCATCTCTGGGCAGGAGCTCCCCAGTGCCAGCTCCTTCCACTTGACCGCATCCAGCGCAGAGCGGCTCGAATCGTCGACGACCGAACCCTTTCCGATCGGCTCGATTCATTGGCATTGCGAAGAGATGTTGCATCCCTTTGCATTTTCTTTCGCATCTACCATGGGGAGTGCTCTGAGGAATTGTTCGGATTAATCCCAGCCGCCAATTTTCACGAACGCACATCGCGGCAGAACTCCCGATACCATCCACACCATCTGGATGATTGGCGGTCCACCACTGTGCGATTTAGAAGATGTTTTCTTCCTCGCACGACTTCTTTGTGGAAACGATTACCATCAGCGATTTTTCCGGACCGATACGACTTAGGGAGCGTACTCCTTTTTAAAAGGCCGGCAACGCATCTGCAATTCCCTCCCTGGTGTTGCAGTTGTTCATGGGCGGCGGTAGTCACTTACCATCAGGTGAGCCGCATGCTCGTTTGCCCCCTCTCCTATAAAAAAAATTAAAAAATTAAAAAAAAAATCCACTACCCCATAGCAACACGTGGGTCTCGTAAGAAGTGACAGAGGGAAACAAATCAGGAGATGGGCAGCAGCGTGTTCCTAATAACGACTGAAAACAAAAAAAACTGCGGTTGCCAACCCGCTTGCGAAGCGTGGCAACTATGGCAAACATCCCAATCTATGAGGGAACCTATATTCAGCAGTGGACTTTAATGGAATGTAATGGATAACAGAACCACGTATTTGAACAGTTTTTACCCTTTGGAACGTGATATTATTAGATTTTTCCTTTTTAACCGCACCGTGCTTACGAGGCCGAAATTAAAAATCAACGAGTCCACTCAAAGCGGGGCGAGAATACTTCAAAATAGATTGAAGCCTCAACTTCGTCGATTGATAGTAGGATAGAGATACATAGAGATACTACTTAGATATGAAACTTTACAAATTAATAGGGAATTTACGGTCCTTGCATAAAATGTAAAGCAACCTCTCAAGGTGTGACACAAGCAATTTTTTTTTACAATAAGTATACATCAAAATTATAGGAATACAAACGCCAAATAAACACGTTTAGTTACTACAAATAATGTTAATTGGCCTTATGTGTTATATACGGCCACCTGGTAGGCGAATACTGTAAAGAAACTTGATATCTATTATTGTATGAACCCAGCCTAGTAAAAATAGAAATAAATTAAGTGTTAAACGATAAAAATGAAAACAAACCAGGAGATGAGCAGCAGCGTCTTTCTAATAACAAATTAAAAATTAAAAAAACTGCAGTTGCCAACTCGACCGTCAAACGTGGCAATTATGGCAAATATCCTCCCTATGATGCAATCTATGGGGCAATCAGTGGACTTGGATAGGCTGTATCGGTAACGGTAAGTAATAAAAAGTCATAAAAGTGATTTATATATATATATATATATATATATATATATATATATATATATATATATATATATATATATATACCATATTGAAACGAACTTTAGTGGACGACAAAGGTATATTTCCCTTTAACATACTACTCACCCGTGCTCGATATAATAAGTTAACGAAATAAAATTGAAGGTTACCTATGACACAGGGTCAAAGTAAGAAACACGACGACAATTATAATATAAAGACCTGTTGTCTTTTTCCCATATGGGTACAGAATTCTCCATTTATTATTAATATACAGTATACAGATGTTACTATAGTAAAATGCAGTTTTATTGGAACGAAGTTTCTTATCGCACGGTACGAATTTGGCGGATGGGGGCTAGCCGAGAAAAAGTGTAAGATTTTTCCGTCACGACCCCTTTTCTATAGTGCGAGCGAGATGGAGTAATATCCACCTCCCTAGCACTTTTTCTTATCTTGCCATGAAAGAAATATTATTTTAAATGACGCTTCATTTTAATAGACGCTAGTAATTCATTTATTTGTATTTATTAATCAATAATATAATACGTTAACAATAATAATATACTACGAAAGGAACTTTGTTCCACCTGAGTGTTCCACGACACTCACGCATGTTTTCTTTATTTATTTATATTTTTTCTAGTTTTATTTTTTTGTTTCTGCTGTATGCGTAAACTGGAATAAGCACTTCTTTGTTTCTTTTAATCTTCAGGGGTTGCCACTCCATCTACATTAATTTAATTTCTTAATATAAGCGTTTATGGACAACAGAATCTACTTATCCTTGCATCTATTATCTGACCTGTAAAATCACGGGCTTTGTTAAATAATAAAGTTTAATTTTTCATTTTATTTTATGATGGGCAACACGCCCATGATTCTATAAAAAGAATTCTGATACTTATTGCCGGTAATAAAAATAGCTATCTCCAATATCCTATACATTAAAAATATATTTGGACTTTCAAGGCGTGACACTGTTAACGAAAGGTACCTAGCTACTTAAAAGAGACTCGTGCAACATATTAATAATTTTTAAAAATAATAATAATTTATATCCGAACAAAATCCGATACAACCTTTAAACCTCAACTCAATAATAGCCAAAACTAATGTGAAATGTTTCGGTTGGGGTCGAAATAAATAAAGATATTATATTTGCCATGTATGTTCTTGTGTTACATCTTTAAAATGTCAATAAAAATTACTTTCCCGTTTAATCAATTCATAATTCTGTTTTCAGGGCGACGACAGAGGGCGGACTGGCGCCAGGTAGCGATGATATGCCAGTGGGCGGGCCAAAGACACCCCAGCAAATCGCCGCCCAGCGTCGCCTTCAGCAAACACAAGCGCAGGTCGATGAGGTATGCCCCACTTTAATGTCATAAACTTCATAATTTAAAAAAGCAGCATAGCGATAAGTTCGTTTTTGACCGGAATTGTAAACTACAAACAGTTTTTACAACAATTATGAATGTGCTAATTTGAAACTCGTGTTTTGAATACATGTGAAAATACGCGATACATTAAAAAGCCTTACTACATAATATGTCTATACTTACTAGACTATATTATATTATCATTATATATATGCTTCTTTTTAGCTCATACTTACTCTTAGTAGAAGCGTCTAGGGATCGGGATGAAAATAATTTGTTAATTAATGTAAGTAACATTATATTAGTAATATCGACACTCTTTATTAATGAAAGAAACCGATTAAATGTTTATTAAAATTCGGAAATGTAGAACTTATTTTAATGAAAGATTTAACATTTATTTCGAAGATTTATAATGAAATTAGTATAAATTAATACTACTTTTTAAAGGTCCTGTATTTTTTATTAATTTTTTTTAATTAAATAATTACTAAATATTAAGTTTTAATATATAACTTTTAAGTGTTGGTAATTGTCAATTTTATGTATAATATTATAGTTTGTAGAGTATGATGAGCCGGCGGAGATCGGACTCTGGTACGCCTTTATTGAATTCTACGGAGAACGCTTAACCCCTAAGTCACCCAAGGCTCTTCAATTATTATATTAATACGATATATCAAAAATTGACGTAGGTTTTTTGAGTATTTATTATAAAAGGAGGGAAATGAAAAATATCATTCGTAAGATATAGTACCACAGATGTGTACTAAACAAAAAAAAATTGTGTGTGCAAAAATATTGCATTTAATGATGTACGTGTAAAATAAGCATTTCGATCACGCGCATGGCTGTATGTAGTGTGATTGGTCAAATTTCAACCACCAGCTATACTATACTCATCGTAAAATATTTTTTAATTAAGTGTTATTTTAATTTTATTTACAGGTGGTCGATATTATGAAAACAAATGTCGAGAAGGTACTGGAGCGAGATCAGAAGCTTTCGGAATTAGATGACCGAGCAGGTGAGATGGCCTATTATATACAAAAAATTGAGCATGTCCATACTTATATACAAATCATTATGCTTTTCTACCGACTTCAAAAAGGAGACGGTACTCAATTCGACTGTATGTTTTTTTATGTGTGTGTTACCTCATAACTTTTTACTGAGTGAACCGATATCAATGATTCTTTGTTTATTTGAAAGCTGGTGCTTCATCTGTGGTCTCATATCGATCAAGGTCTGACTAATATTATTGAGTTATTCTTAATAATATATATTGAAATCGGTTGTACAAAATGTTTAATTTTAAATTATTTACAATAACACTTTTATCAAGAAATACTTCATATTTATTTATTTATTTGATAATAAGTATAAGTTTAATAAAAAACCTTATTTAATGTATATAGTGGCGGCGTAAGGAAGAGTTCACTTTGTCCTACCAGTGGGGACGTTTGGTGGGAAAAAGATAAATAAACCTATTATGTTCCGAAGGTATTGTAAGAGTGGACAGATGGAAACTGAAACAGAAATTTGCATCTTCCTGATAACCACTCAATTATAATTTTAAAAAAAAACATATACCAAACCGCCTCCCAAACGTAGCAACTATGGCATAAATGGGGGAGGCTTTTGTTCAGCAGTGAAATTTTTATATTATTCATAACTGCTAAATGAATTAATGATGATATTAACATATTATTATATTAAATATCGTAATAACACATTGATCTGTTATTACGTATTATAGTACAATATTAACATAATAACGAGTTAATACATTTTTTTTTACAATAAGGATGAAAAAGTTCACTGGTGAATATAGGCCTCCTCCATAGATTGCCTCATAGAGGGGATTTTTACGTGTTAGAGCAATTATCTACACGTAGTAGAGCCATGCTGCAGCTAGATTAATAGTATAGTTGTAGCACGAATGGGTCGGCTCGACCGGAGAGGACCACGCTCTCACAGAATACCAGCGTAAAATGGCAGCTTGACACTGCTGTGTTTCGAATGATGAGTGTAGAGAACCGGAGACCCATTTTACTGGAAAAGAGGCATTCTATCTTAGTTCTCACGGGTGACAACGCATCTTCATTTTAATTCTATTGAGGATAGATGTAGATGTCTATGGGCCACGGCGACCACTTAGGTACCATCAGGTGGACTGTGTGCTCGTTTGTCACCCTATCCTATAAAAAAATAGCAGGCAGGTTGGCAAACATAGTTTTATTATTATTTTGAGTTGATATCAGGAAGATTCTGCTGCCTATTTTCTGTTTCACTATGCCCCTGTCGCCTCTTACACACCCATGGGACGGGACGAGATGGGATAGTGGACATTCTTACACCGTTACCACACGATTAAAAAGTCCACTTGATAAGTGGGTATTGCAACTTAAGATAAAGTGGCTGACTCCCTTACCCTTTTTTGTCATTTAGCATCCAATCCAGCTTCCAAATAAACTCCAGTATAGCTTACCGTAAATGTAAATGGTAAATGCACGATGATGTGATTATAAATATAGTTGGAAAGCACAACCACACATAATAGTACATTGCCTTCATTTATATGCACATTTGGTTCTATCTACTGCTTTGTGAAAGCATTTTAAATAGAGTTAAAAAAAGAGAAGATTCTCAAATATGTTTTTGTATGTGTTTTACGCCATATCTTCGTCGATTGTTAACCGGTCTTAATTTTATTTTCATTAAATAGGTTATACTTATGTGGTCCCATATAAATTTGAAGAAAAAATTTTATCCTAAAGGTACACGGTAAGGTGCCGTGTAGTGGCGGTCAAGAATATCCACTACCCCATATCTTCCCGTGGGTGTCGTAAAAGGCGACAAAGGGAAACAGGCAGGAGATGGGCAGCAGCATCTTCCTGATAATAGCCAAAATTACAATAAAAAAACTGCGGTTGCCAACCCGCTCGCTAAGCGTGGCAACTATGGCAAATACCCCCCAATGATTAGAGCAACAAACAGACGGCCCCCAGCCCCCGACGGCCCCGCTATTCCTGGCTACGGTGGCGACCATGGTAACGGCGGGGTAGGGGGTGCTGAGAATCTCCGGTGGAGGTTCGGTTGCCGCCTTAGACGACTCGACCTGGCAACGTACAATGCACGCACCCTGAGGACTGACGAGAAGATCGTGGAGCTGGAAGAAGAGATAGACAAGTTACGCTGGCATATTTTAGGATTATCCGAAGTCCGAAGAGAGGGGGAGGACACGGTAATCCTAGAATCCGGCAACTTGCTCAATCAACGGGAGGGCGACCATCTGTCCCAAAGAGGTGTCGGATTTATCGTCCACAAGTCTCTCGTTAACAACGTTGTAAAGATCGGGAGTGTGTCGACGAGGGTTGCGTACCTTATACTGAGAATCACCAAACGGTATTCGCTGAAGGTCATACAGGTTTACGCACCAACCTCGGCCCACCCCGATGAGGAGGTGGAGGAAATGTATGAGGATATCTCTAGAGCCATGCATTCCCCCAAAACCCAATATACGGTGTTAATGGGAGAGACTTCAATGCAAAACTAGGCACAAGAGAGAACGGTGAGCTGAAAGTAGGGAAATTTGGAATAGGGCAACGGAACCCAAGGGGCCAGCAGCTGGCCGACTTCATGGAGAAAGAGGGACTCTTTATGATGAACTCTTTCTTCCAGAAGCGGCCCCACAGGAAGTGGACCTGGTCGAGGCCCTACGGTTCGGCAAAAAATGAGATTGACTTTATTATGACGACCAGACGACAACTATTCAGTGATGTCTCCGTGATCGCGAGGGTGAAAACTGGTAGCGATCACTGAATGGTTAGAAGCACACTGAACCTAAACGTTAAGTTGGAGAGGTCTCCTCTAATGAAGTCAACGCTCCGTCCCCCTCGAGTTACAAAACCGTTTTCAGTGCCTAGAAGACTGCAATGAATTGGACGATATGAACGACAAGCTCGTGGAAACTGTCCATGCGGTCGGAGCTAAGTTCTGCAAGACCCGCCGCAGAACTTAGCTCCGACGAAGAACACAAAAACTCTCCGATCACACTCTTAATCTCATTGTTCACGTCTGTTAGTCGGTAGATGAAGCTACATTCTTCAACAGATTTGATAGCATACAGGCAACTGAACAAACAGATCTCCAAATGCATGCGGCGGGACTTACGCAAGTTCAATACAGCTTGTATTGAAGAAGCGATCGAGCAAAGCTCCAAAGTCTTTGCCAGAGATCTGTCTGCCAGAAAGAGCCAACTGTCAAAGCTGGAGACCGAGTGTGGCAGCATTGTTGTCAGGGCATCTGAGATTTTGAGTGAGATTGAGAGATTGTTGTTGTCGGTACAAGTTGACTGTCGGTATATCGAAGTGCTGAAGTGCTTGTACAGTAGAGCTACGATGGCTATACAAGTACAGAACCAGAGTACGAAACCTATCCAATTGCAGAGAGGTGTAAGACAGGGTGACGTTATATCCCTGAAACTCTTCACCGCTGCATTGGAAGACGTTTTCAAGGTTCTGGACTGGAAAGGATACGGTATTAATATTAATGGCGAGTACATCACTCACCTTCGATTTGCCGACGATATAGTCCTTATGGCAGAATCGCTGGAGGACCTAAGCACTATGCTCAGTGACCTCAATAGTGTCTCCCAACGAATAGGTCTTAAGATGAACATAGACAAAACAAAGATTATGTTTAATGTCCATGTCACACCTATGCCGGTAGTTGTTGGGAGCACTAAACTCGAAGTTGTTGACGAGTATGTTTACCTGGGACAAATAGTCCGACTAGGTAAGTCCAACTTCCACCGAGAGGTCAATCGACGGATTCAACTCGGCTGGGCAGCGTTCGGGAAGCTACGACACATCTTCTCGTCAAACATACCTCAAAACCTTAAAACGAAATTGTACAACCAGTGCGTGCTGCTAGTGATGACTTACTGAACTGAGACGTGGTCCTTTACTGCTGGCCGTATGAGGAAGCTCAAGGTCGCTCAGAGAGCTATGGAGAGGGCTATGCTCGGAGTTTCTCTGTGTGATAAACTTAGGAATGAGGATATCCGCAGTAGAACCAGAGTAACCGACATAGCCTAACGGATTAGTAAGCTGAAGTGGCAGTGGGCCGGCCATATAGCTCGAAGAACCGACAACCGATGGGGAAGAAAGGTTCTTGAGTGGCAGCCTCGTACCGGTAGGTGAAGTGTAGGCCGACCCCCCACGAGATGGAGTGACGACCTGGTAATACATGCAGGAAGTCGATGGATGCAGGTGGCTCAGGACCGTGCTTTGTGGCATTCCTTGGGGGAGGCCTATGTTCAGCAGTGGACTTATGAAAGGCTGTAATGATGATGATGATGATGATAGCTTACCGTAACTACAAATCTAAAGTCCACTGCTCATCATAGGACTCCTCCATAGATTCCTTTACAGCGGGGTTTTGCCAAAGTTCCCACGCCTGGCAGGTGAATTGGCAACTACAGTTTTTCTATTGTTTTCATTTGTTATAAGGAAGATGCTGCTGCCAAACTTCTGTTTCCGTTTCTCTCTGTCGCCTCTGATGACACCCAAGGGACGTAATGGAGTAGTGGTTATTCTTATACCGTCAATACGTGGTAAAAAGTCCACTTGATAAGTGGCTATTAAGACCTAAGATGGAATGAGCCACAGCCTGCAATTACGCCAACTCTCTTACCCTTCGAACTGGATGACAGGTGGATTCACTGCTGCTTAGCAACTCAAATAGTGTTACAGTAATACAGTGATACCCATCAGGATGGACTCCCAGACATATTAGAAGCGCACTACCTAGTGTATAATATTTTTATTGCATAACAACTAATTTGGATAACATTAAACTAAGGTAACTAAATAAGCGATGGCAGCCTAATGGTTAACTTACGAACTAAGAACTTGAAATTCGTAGGTTCGATTTCGCTATGCGCAACTACTGTCGTATACTACTTCTAACAAGCATTTTAGGTATTATTGGAGTAGTAAGCGGAAATGGTCGTATTAAAAAAATTCCCACAGTAGGATTATCTATCGTATCGTGGAACCGTTTCACATATATTATTATGACTTATTATAAGCCAGTTATTGACTGTAGTCAAGGTGAGATTGTAATCCCACCTCGTGGTCAGCCACCATGATGATTTAGATGGTAAATCGCACTGTTTAAGCTAAAACAAAACACTTGCTTTGAAGACGCCTAGATTGTAATAGGTACTTATATAAACATAAATTGTATAAGAACAAACAACCAGCGAGATTCGAAACCGCGGCCCACAACACTCCAGCCTATACAGCAACTGCGTTATCGAGCCGTCAAATGAAATTTTAATAGCATCACTAATATTTAAAAAAGAACTACTACTACATATATTAATTTACCTTTATATCTCTATGTTACAGACGCACTTCAGCAGGGCGCTTCACAGTTCGAACAGCAAGCTGGAAAACTGAAAAGCAAATTTTGGTTGCAAAATTTAAAGGTAAACCTTTTGCATCAAAATTTTTTATGGAAAAATCAAGTTACATCAAAAAGATCAAAAGCCTTTTCTAAATCCACCGCCAGAGATTCCTTACCAAGAGCGCGTCAGCTGTCATTACTAGGAAAATTTACTCATACACACCACGCAAGGAAAATTGGAGAACCGATACCCTGACCTTGATAATGCTGCTTTCAATCATAAGCCAGTAATATTTAGGTTTTTTGGGTAAATTTTTCACCTTCAATCGATCAACAGAATCTTGTACGTGAATCTCCATCGATCAAAAAATAAATACAAGGTTTTTTTAAAATAAAATGTTTCACATTCTTGGTTACACCCTAAAAATGCAATATTTAATAATCGTAAACCTTTAATTTAATTATATTGCAGATGATGATTATCGCTGCTGTAATTGGAATCATCATTTTGGCTCTTATCATCGGTAAGTTGTCTTGTAGTGATAACATTCTCTCTCTCTCATCTAGAGAATATCGCTCTTATATTTTTTTTAAATAATTATGTTTTAGACTAATCATATCATTATTTTTTCCATATTTTCAGCCAACTTTGTGTGAACAAGTTTCGGTAATCGAAGTTTAATTTAGAAGTTAATTGTTATAACGTTAAAAACTAGTTATATGCAGTATGTTGTTATTCTTATATTTACTATGTTGGTACTAATAAGCCTTTCTTGGTAAGTGGGCATACAGTGTAATGTCGTTGTAAGTGTTGGCTTTGTCTGTTCTTATTTCACTTCGTATGTATTCGTACCTGTCTCTATTAAAATGCCGTTTTCAAGTCTTATATCTGCTCCTATAAGTTGACTATCAGCTTTCTATAAACAAAACTCGTGACGGTGCACTTTACTCGTAAACGCCTTGCAACTTTAAAGATATCAAGCAGCTTATACAAATAAAATACATAAACTCCGTGTTTTTTCATTAGTGACGTCACGTGTTTTACTTGAATAGTTAACTTATAGAACTGAAGCTTAATTTCGCAGCGTTGTTTTTCTTGTGTCGAAAATTGCTCTATACGTATAATTATACTATATATTATAATTAAGTCAACTATAAACTACCCTATAGCCTATAGTAAGTTTAATAACTTAGAACTCATAAATTGCTTAATAACATCAAAATGTTCTTCTTTGTTCCAAGAATGCGACGCTTAACCCGGTTTAGTTCTGCTTCCTTGACTACCAAAGTTACTTCGCAGTCTTTAAAGATTTTGATGCATTCTGTCATAATATATCCTGGCAGAAGAACAACAAAAAATAAAATTTGATATATTTTGAACTGTAATATGTACAGTATAAATATTATTTTCAATCCTGAACATTGTTTAAGTTTCTTATTACATTGAAAGTTATTAATACATTATACAATCATGATTTGAACCACGATGTGAAAATCATTTTTCAAATTGAAAAATAATAAAATTTATTATTTAGAACCACACGCATTAAAAAAAGATACTTATAATTAACTACAGTATCAGTTTCAAAAATATTTAAAATTATACGTATTTTAATAGGAAATGCGTGAAATCTAATATTTTATTTTATGTTTTCTAGGTCTGTAAACACCCAAGGACTGTTGCCGCGTATGTATTATTATTATTTTTATTATTTATTAGATAAATGTGACACAATAATATGTTCTAGACCGAAACACAACAGTTGATGCACTGTTGCTTGACGACAGAAATGTGTAAGAGGATGATGTCTAACTCAAACGAACTCTTAGGTTGATAACTATCCACCTAGTGTATATTGTGAGCCATAGACGAACCCTGAACACTGACGAACAAGGCATCTATCGTTACCAATAAACCTCTTTTCTGATCGTTACCTGTAAAGAGGGTTGAGGGTGCGTACCTCAAACACTAAACTGTCGTGAACTACTAAAAAATTTGAGCAATTGATTTAAATAATTTTAACCTTGGTCCATTAATTACGTGAGCTTTAAATAATTCGGGAAACATCGTATTAAATCTCATTTAAAGGGAGGCGAAGGACTCAGTGAAAATCTCACGTCAATTTTTTAATTTAGAGAATATATTAGTTGTACCTATGATATTGCCATTTTGTTGAACTGGCCATTTTGAACTGTAATAGTTATACTGTTACAGCCTATTAGAGGCCTCCCCTCTTGGTTGCCTCATACGGGAGTATTTACCATAGTTATTTATGAGTTTTTTTATATGATAAGAAACGAGCACATAGTCCACCTGATGGTAAATGGTTGCTATGACCCATAGACATCTACATCTATCCTCAATAAAGAATCAAAATGCAGATGTGTTGTCACCTGACTAAGATGGAATGCCTCTTTTCCAGTAAAATGGGTCTCCGGTTCTCTACACTCACAATACGAAACACAACAGTATTAAGCTGCTATTTTACACTGGTATTCTGTGAGACCGTGGTCCTTCTCCGGTTAAGCCAACCTATTCGTGCTACAACTATACTACTAATATAACTGCAGCATGGCATGCATTTGCGACGTAGATACTCTAAATGTGTCTCAAACAAATAACACACAATATAAATTACATACACAGACCTAGCACTACTAACAAGCTGTGCATTATTGGTTCTTCAGCTTTTGTTCGGGAAGTTTTGATCTCACAAATAAACCTCGTGGGCGCCCAGAAAATCGATAAAATAAAGTAACTTGACAAATGAGTACCTCCCGAACTCATGACAGCGAAATTGTGAATCGGCGTAGAAAGGAGGGAATTTTGAGTCGAATTATTACCTGAGATGAGAAGTGGATAATCGCAAGCGTTTATCACAGTGGTTAGATCCAGGTACTCAAACCAAACAGAAGCTCAACAAAAGAAGCTTATGGTGACAATTTAGTAGTCCAGTGTTGGTGTTATTCACAGCTTCTTGCCATCTGGTGCCAAAATTATTGCAGACCATTATTGTCAAGAATTGTGAGTGATGGTAGAGTAGCTGGCACTCAAACAACAACCCTAATTGATGAACAGCCCTTCGCCACTGCTTCTTCATGACAATGTTCGACCGCCTACTGCACAAGAGACGTTAGGAAAATTAGCAGAGCTAAAGCTTGTCCATCCATCATATTTTCTAGACGTTTTCCTATCAGATTTACACTTTTTAGATAACTTTTTAAAGCAACATTTTCATTCCCAAGCAGTAAGGAACGCCTTAATTTCGATTACTAATTAAAGTGTCTTTTGTATAAAAAATAGTTTGTCCCATATAAAACGGCATTTCATAAGTAAAGGCCTAACACATTATTATAACAAAACGTCGGTCAGCGTGCATAACCGCGTAAAAGTAGTTTGTATATTATATCACGTATCTGCATTTCCACGATTTTACAGGAAGAAGAAAAAAGTTAATATCTCGGCCATTCTAATATACTTTACCGATTGAAATTGTTTGCAACTGTTTTTCAACTTATTTTATTGGTAAATAACGTATACATATTTATCAATAGCTTGTATGTACGTCTTTGTACGTGGTAGAGCCAAGAATGGGTCGGCTCAATCGGGGAAGGACCACACTCTCACAGAATACCAGCGTAAAATAGCAGCTTAGTGCTTCTGTGTTTCGTATGGTGAGTGTAGAGAACCGGGGACCCTTTTTACTGGAAAAGAGGCATTCCATCTTAGTCCTCAAAGTTGACAACGCCTCTGCATTTTGACTCGCAAACGAGGATAGATGTAGATGTCTATGGGTCATAGCAACCACTTACCATCAAGTGGACTGTGTGCTCGTTTGTCTATCTCTATAAAAAAATGTATTCCGTGTAAAGTAATTTTCGCGTTTTTGTAGCGACATATGGCGGAAAAATTTGTATACTTTTAGTAAGGTACGTGGATATGAAATGAAACATTTTATTAAAGTATTAACCAAAAGTATTAATGAAACAAAATTCATCATGAGTAAATAACAAAAAAATGACGCGTATGTTGTGGCTTTACTTATAACCCAGCTTGTAGACTGAAAAATTGTCCACAGCGAGCTTTCTTGAAAAATGAAATGAGGAAAAGGACAAGTTTTTTTTTTTATCCACCATTCAATCAACGTACATTTTCTTTTCTTGCCTAGTCATTTTCCAATAGGCTTTAGATATTAATTATTAAAATTTACAGAAGTTCGATCACAACGAACTTCTGTTATTTGAACAGTACATAACTTTGTTTCTGAAACATCGCCTTGACATACTGGGGCCATTATTCTTGCTGGTTTTCAATAATTTTGAACACATTTAGTACAGTCTTTTTTTTTTTAAATCCAACATACTCCTCTCCCACCATCCTCAGTTGCGTATTTCTTCTTGTTTGCCAATTTTATCGATTTCCCTTCAGCTATCTTCTATTCTATTTTTTCGCCCTTTCTTCTATATATCCTTCGGGAAACCACCCCAAATTTTCTGGCGATAATGACATTTTGTGTCTGAGAGGGTGACGAATGAAGGATCAATAACTGAAACGTCTGAAGAAAATCAGAACCATTAATTATGCCATTAAAATACCATTGATGTACTCTTGCGTAAAAATACTGGTAAAGATACATTAAAAACAACATAAACATACTTATGCATGGTAGTTATTCACGATAAAATAATTATTTACGGGAGCACTGTTGTTATTTTGGCTGGTAAATATGCGGAAATACTGCAAAATTTGGGCATGTTACTGATACCCGGTGTTGTTTCGATGGCAAAAACGAGATTTCTTATTGGCTAATTCAAAGCGAGTGAGATTTAGTAATAGTAAATCAACTTTTAAACGATCTGTTGCAGCGATATTTATATTTTGCGACTTTTGCTGTTACACGGTTTTCACAAACTGCTCTTCCTCGGTCTTGCACGCTCACTGACGAAATAACGTTTTGTATAAAATTTTCATTAAATTAAATTTAATTCGTTATGGTGCATCAAACCTATGATTTTTCTCCTCTTATTTAACGAAATAAATGTACTACATAAGAGACATCAGTATAAACGCTTTTAGTATCTAAAAGTATGAAGCAAACACATAAAATATGAAGTTAATTTAATTAATTAAAAATTACGAGTAAGGATAAATCTCAATCAAATCTCACCTGTAGGGTCGTCCAAGTTTAAAATCGCCACTTGCACGATAGTAAAGAATTTTATATATGTACATAAATAAAATTCTTTGCTATCGTGCTATATGCTGTGTGACAAGTAAGTGGCTTGGGCGTATACTGCCCTATAGATTACTGATTCTGTGCAGTTGACCACTTCAGACAAACAACAAAACAAAGATGTGAGACATTAGGCCAATCCGCCTGTCTGGCGGAAGATTAAGGAAAATTTCTTTCTACTATGGGAGAGGTTCATTTTATGAAAGATTTATAATAAAAAAATTCCAATTATCAGTCTAGTTGACTTTTGTCGCAATTGCGTCTTGCAATTTTTTTAACTTTAAAGCGATAACTTATTTAAAAATGTTGCAGGTTCCAGCCTACACCGACATCTATAATGGGTCCGGCGAAATATCTTTTTATTAGAATTTAGTATCTATTATTCAACTGTTATAAAATAACAAATACTATGGTTTTGAATACTTGTGTCTATATTTTAATAATATCATTTAAATACGTATATTTATCACCACGCATATTGTCTGTAACAAACTCACACGTCCTATGACCTTTTTTGTCACACTCATCAAAACTGAAAAAACTTTATAGAGTATTTTTAGATGATCTTTCTTTGTTTAAAAGTTTACCTTTAAAATCAAAATCCTACTTGAATACTTCTTAGTCATAGTTAAGGCTTATCAATTTATACCATATCGCAAAGAAATTCTTTGTTATACATAATTAAAGATATATTACTTATTTATTTTTTCAGTGTTTAGATAGAAATTTATTGCGATATTTTAATTCGAATAATGCATATAGCAGCTTTATTTTTTTTACTATGAATTTCATATTCCTTACGAAGTTCTACTAAAAGAAACGTTAAAATATCAATGTTAGTGTTATATTATATTCTCCCTGTCAGTATGCTTTGTATTTTGTGTGTTACTATATGCCTTGGTTTTTCTAAATAAAATTGATATTTCTATAACCATAAGCATTATTAATTTCGCATACGTATGTACGTATAGCTTTATTGAAAAATTCTGTGCAAAAGTAATTAATGTAGCGGCCAGAAAACTTCTCTGAATTCAAAACGGAAAACGCTTTAAAAATCTAAAGAACGCTTGGTTCTAGAGCGCGATAGAAGAAATACATTTCAATGTACATAAATTAGTCAAGAAAAGAGAGTATAAAGAAAAGTCAAAAGAAAAAAAATTATATGTGAATTACATGGCGTGGCGTTACTACATTTATTTATTTATTTATTTATTTATAATACATATTTATTTATATACATACTCGTATAATATGTGATTGGTTAAGACTTATTCATTAAAAACTTTGTTTTTTTTTTAAGAAAAGGCAGGACATGAACTAGTAGTTGACCTGCCATCTAGAGGACAACGTCGCCCATGAAAAAGTTAGTTAATGATTACTGTTACCAGTAATTACTAAAGTATACACAAACTCAATAATTACAATTAATACGACTGAACGGGAAAGGTTTAGCAAAGAATTGGTTGAGTAATATCGAAAAATTGTCAGAATAATAATATCGTAATTGCGTATCTTGTTATTACATACAGTATTTAACCAAACCGGCTATTAAAAAATAACAATAACTACCTCATAAATGTAAAACTTACCTAAGTATATTCGTTTTTTACAAAAGTGTTATACAAAAATACATAAAACAACTTTGAAGAGCGTTATTTAATTTTGTTATGTGTGTTATACGTACGCGATGATTACTTACATTAAAGTCTGATGTCATTAGCAAATTAAATGATTTGATTTGTAAATTAATTTTGTTTTCAAATTTGAATTTTTGTATAATACATGGTAAATCAGTTAGCTAAAGCCCCCAACTAGATAAAGTGATGTTCTGGTAAGAGAGGCAAGAAGTCGATGGATGCAGGTGGCTTAGCACCGTGTTTTATAGCATTCCTTCGGAGAGGCCTATGTTCTGCAGTGGATTTGTAATGGGATGTAATGGTGATGATGATAATGTTTAAGGATACCTATAAGATACTAACTGGCCCAGACGTTGTTCTACCCTTTCCAGTAGGTGGCGCCATGAATTTAATAAAATTTATCAATAATTCGACAATTGTGCCACCTATCAGGTCCAGATAATAATATTTTAAGCCCTTAATCAACATTGTGTACGAGTTATAGTGTTTACGAGTCATTTTGGTCCATAAATATAGAATATGCTATTAACTTGACTACAGCTTCAACTATCGAATCTAACATAGCTATGGACCACCGATTATGTTATATGAAAAAAAGAAAGAAAAAAATGATTACCGCGATCGAGAACCGAAAACGAGAGAGTAACGTGATAATAGGGCTTTGCAATAATGATACATTTTCAAACACGAGAACTGTAAGTTGAAATGTACAATCAATTTATTAATTACGTGATTGGCTGTAAAGGTGCATCTCTAATATAGTTAACGAATGACTTGGGACACTTACAAATTCGACATTTGAATTCAGAAAAGATTTCAGTCTATACCTACCTGTCTTGTGTTAAAGTTGCGTTTAAATTGAAGCTTTGTTAGTTTTAAGCATTGAGGTATTAATGTATTAACTATATTTTATTGTTTTATGTATATATTCAAAACGAAATTTCGTATTAAGGAATCGTTAAACATAGCATAATATATTATGACACCTAAATTGATATATTTACCATCTTAAATGACTGTGGCTGGCCAAAACGCCTCAAATATACTCACAACTTTAATTTACAAGAATTCTTCTATCTCTAGCTGTGTGTAAACTTATATATAAAAACTGCTATTTAGGTAGTTAGAAATTGTACAAAACACAATGAAATATTTAATTTAATAGATTTTATGTCACTTATTTTTAGGCTTATAGTGTGTTTTATTAGCGTAAGAATTAAAATTGGTTAGCTTTAACAATAAAAAGAATTTTAAATCACTTATTTTAAAAGTCGCCGTCTTGCTATTTTAAATTGCAATTATCCAAAAAGATATTTAATGGTTCAAGAATCAATGTAATTTGCTATTTTTTAATTTACGTATTTAATTTAAATTGCAAACTAATGCAACTTCAGTTAAAAGGTAGATAATTAGAACAGGTGGGGGATATTTTATGATCAAATTATATTTTGTATCAATTGTTTTTAAACAATGATACTAAAATATTTTATGAGCTTAAAAGCCTTTTTGTTAAACAGTAAACTAAGTTGTTGGTTAAATAGATTATTTCGTTAGGAGTGAATTTTATCTACATACAAAGATATACTACATATTGGCAAAAAAAAATCCCAATATGTATTATATGTTGCCACATTTTTTGAAACGTGCACCATTTTTTACATAAAATTTCGAAGAATTTCAATTTAATTTTTTCTAATAATATTGCAAAGATTAAGCTCGTTATGTACCTTGTATTATCCTACCTATATATCCTTGTATACCAAACATTTTTAATGTAATAATAAAGCGTTGTTAAGTTAGTAACTGTACCTACGGACCTATTGTAAACTGACTGTAAAATTTATAATACGTTTTCCATTTTTTTATAAATGTCACTATCGTGGAAATTTTTGGTTATTTGAAACAAGAACATTAAGTTTTTTTTTTATTTCTGTTTCAAAATATGTGGCTCGAAAATCACTGTAAGGTAAAAGAAAAATACACCAGAAATATTTGTCAGTGGATTAGATTAAGAATATTAACGATGTTGTTCAGAAAAAAAGGCATAAGTGTTAATTGTACTTATTAAAAAAAATGGCGATTGTAGGTATATGATTTCACAGAAAAAGTTTTTCTTTTTTATTTATTAGCAATTCTTATAATTAATAAATTCATCAATATTATGGTTATCAAAAAACCATTATGTAAGTATACCAACTTATGTGTAGTGTCAAAAATCAAATTATGTACCTACTTGCAGTCGTATTTTAATTGATATTTATTATTTTTGACACGGTTATAAGATTTTAAGATATGAAGATAAAATTAATAACTTCGATTAAAAAAAACTCATTTAAATTGTAAAAGTTGTTGTTTATTATTATCGTTAACATTGTATGCCTTTAAAAACCATTACACCAAATACTATTCGTCTAATTATAGAAATTGTATAAGATTTGATAATTTTGGTACATACTACAGACAACAGATTATTACAATATTCAAATATTATTCAAATTATCTAGGATTGAAAAAGTGTAGTTGTATATTCTCATTACATCTCAATAATTAGACTAGTAGTATTTTATCAACATACGTTAAATATTTCAATAATTAAATTGAAATATAATTACATGTGGCATCGAGTACCTACATATTAAGTAGGAATAGACTTCGGTAATAGTAAATAAATTATAATAGCACATGTTTTACTAGTTTACTTAAATAGTACCTACCTTTAGACCTGGTTATGACAATTTATGTGACATGGAAATATTATCCTAATAATCTTTCAGAAACAGTTATTGTATATTGACGTGTTTAACGACTTGTATCATTCAGTGAAATATTCTAAGAGTAATTACATATATAGAAATATTAAAAATGCATTGACGTAATTTTGTTTCAATAGCAATCTGTAATTAGACCAAAGGTTTATTAAATTAGTGGATAAAAATATTAAATGTTTATAATGTGTATTGTAAATTCGAACGAATTACATTGTTCCAAAAGTTTAACAGATTTTTGAATTACTATATTATATCTTTTAAAATGTATGTCGAATATGGTTAAAACTTATGGTTCTTTTAAATAAGACATTACCAGTGTAATCATAATAATAACCCAAAATCGTAGGAACTTTCATGAACTAGGTATATAATTCTGTATGTACCTATAATATATTATAAATTATTGCTTCAGTGAAATAAAGCAACTTTCAATACAAATAAGCTGTTGTATATTTAATAAGGCTTATAATATGGGGCCTTTACAACCAACAATATCCAATAGCAGTGCCAGTGTCATAAGTGCTGAAATGAATTCAGTTTTAAGCGCAGTTTTCATGACTTCAGGCGACAGTGTTTTTATGGTTAAGGATACACACCGTGAAACTCTAAGTAGTGGGTTCGAATCCACTATTTAATTATTATGGTGAACCACTCCTAACACAAATTTAAACCTTAGTTGGAATGGTTACAGAGTTCATTTAAAAAAACTCCGTCTGAGGCGACAGAAAGTACATTTTGAATAAAACTACTTTTTACGGATTTTATCGCGTTTAATTTACTATTTTAATTCCCGACGTTTCGGGTGCTTTACAGCAACCCATGGACACGGGGGGGGACTGAGATGTTTGACGTCCCGATGTCACAGTTAGCCCGGCTACCTTCAGTTTTTTTAATATTAATTTTTGGTTCGATTTACGCAGAATGAACTTACAGTATCTTGAAGTCTTGCAGTGGTATGCTTGGGTTTGGATTTTATTTTGTCAATTATAGGATCCCAAACAGATTGCAGCACCCATCCATCTTCTCTATTGAAATTAGGATGTTTTTTTTTAATTTCAATAGCCTCGCGTATCATCCTTGGTAGGAGTCGGTGTTCTTTTGCGAGGATTTGTGGTCTATCAAATGAAATATAATGGCGAGGACGATCTTGAACATGTTCACAGACTGCAGACTTACCGGAGCGTCGGTCCTTCACGTCAGCTATATATTCTTTCATCCCAGAGCGTCGGTGCTTCACGTCAGCTATATGTTCTTTCAATATATGTATGTTCTTGGGAAGTCTGTATCGTCCCCGTGAAGGTAGCTAACTGTGACATCGGAACGTCAAACATCTCAGTCCCCCTCCGTAACCATGGGTTGCTATAAAGCAGCCAAAACGTCGGGAATTAAAATAGTAAATTAAGCGCAATAAAATCCGTAAAAAGTAGTTTTGTTCAATGTGTAGTGTTCGCGTAAATATAAGAAATCAGAAACTACATTTACAAAAAAAAACAAATAGTAACACGGTTTCATGATACAGTTCCGCACAGTATAAGCAGGTTTTGGTGACCCAAATGAAAAACCAGTCTGATTTCGAGAATTACCAGCATATGGCAATAGTCAACACAGTGCACACACACATAAACATGTGGCAATCTGTTTCCGATCCCAAACGTGAACTAACAAAGTATGACCTTTGTTCTAATTGATTTTCAATTGTAAATCAGTGGAAAGCAGTTTTTTTTTAAGAATAAGAATGGT